GGTAATACCCTGGTCCAGTTGGCTTTGATCAATGTTACTCTGAAGCCTGAAGAACCATATGCCATACTGACGTTATCTTTAAAAAGGCCATTTTCTTAGGATGATCTAATTACTTTTATTCCTTTGCCCGTTTGTTGGAGTCGTATATGACTGGATTGTGAATCTGTCATATGATGACCTCACATCTCATTTAATCCCTGGATATGGTTCATATGGAGTGGGCTATTATATCTCATTCCCATCAAGCCAAAGCAATATTCTATTACATGATGCAATTCCATGCAGAAATCACATGTTCCTTACATCGATAACATTATGTTATTTATGCATAAAAAAGTTTGCGCTGGATCATTTTCCCAGGGATGTGAAGATGGGGTACAGGAGGCTGAAGGAGAAGGTCAAGGAGCAGAAGAGGAAGGAAACGAAATTGTACGGCAACATGATTTCGAAGCTAAGCAAGCTTGAAGACTCGGAAACCGAAGTAAGCTCCCTCCTCTGGCACCCTGCCATCTTGTGCCTGCGCTACTACCTCATCCACCGAATTTGACCATTGGTCCCTGTTTGTTGCTGGTTTGCTGCTTGAAGGGAGGCACAACTCAGGCGCCAAGCAAGAAGCATGGCCTATGGCCACTCACCGCGCTGCTGAGAAGGCTGTTCACGAGGAGTGACGGTAGCAAGGAGTCGATGCTGTGGCTGGTGCTGAGGCTGCTCATTCCGGTGGTGCTGCTGGTGGCGGTCTGTGTGGCTTTCTACATGCGCAGCGGACCTCCTGAAGTAGACTGCATCAACTGTTAAATTCTTGTATATTGTCGTCTACTTTACATCCGGCTGTAGAGGTCCGTCTGCCAGCTGTGCTTCACAATCGGAGTCGACTACTACTGTTCACGGTAAGTTATTTCCGTGGCTGCTGTTGTGTTCAATATGTATAGAGGACAGGCAAGCATTGCATCAGCTGCACCTGTGAGCTAGACACGTTCGAGTGATTGAAACATACAAAGGAAAAAATGATACTGAAAGTTCAACTATTCTCGTGTATGATACTAGAAGTTACTGAAAGTTCGCTTCAACCATTATGTACTTAACAAAATACTAAAATTCTTTTGGGGACGGCTATAGCTCAGTCGATTTGTGTCCTCAGCCAGTCAGCCCTCCGATCAGCATCTAGCGATTCACATCCTCCAGCTACTGGTCATCTCATTTCTCAAGCGTTTCTCTTTTGATGGGCAAGCGTTTCTCTCTTCTTGGTTAGGTGACTGAGACTTTCGAATTTCTAGCAAAACTGAATTCATTTATGAGTGATATAAAAAAGAATAGAGAACTGAATTCGTTCGCAAGTTGAGGCCTTTATTTTCTTTTTCAAATTTCCCCATTCTGCCCCGTTCTACAAGTTCACGTAAATCTAGAGGTGGCAACGGGGCGGGGCTGGGTTGGATTGGAATGCCCCCGCTCCCGTCCTCATGCGGGTATCCCTAGCCCTGGCCCGGCCCCGCAAAGGAAGTCAGGTGAAAAACATCACCCGTCTCCGCCCCCACAGAGGACCCGGTGGGTGACCGGGGCCACGCATCACCCGGATAAAGCTAATACTTCATAAAGATATTGCAATATACTGAATAATATTATGATGAAATTTCAATACCCCGGTGATGTGGGTTGGTTGAAGAAAGGAAAGGGATTACAGTTGAGGGGAACTAGGGTGTTGAGTTTTTATATGTCAATTTTGAATGAGCTCGGTGAGTCTATATTATTGCAATGAGCTACTTTCAGAGAAGTAACTCACATCCGGGTCTAAACCGAGGCCCTCTAGATCACCCGCGGGTTAATTCCAATCCCCGCTCCCATCCCCGGAATTTTGCGGGGCCCCATCCTCACTCACCCACGGGTGAGAATTCTCCTTCGCTCCCACCCCCCTAGGGGCGGGTCCCCGCTAGATCCTCGGCCCGACGGGAAACTGCCACCCCTACGTAAATCCATAAAAAAAAGTTCACATAAATTCAATATACTTTGAAAAAAAACAATTATGCCATATGTACTAGTAATATCATAGTATATATAGGAATTTTCCTGAGTTTTTTTTCATGGTTTTTCATTTCAAAATTGAATTTGAATAAAATCTACCAAAATCTTTCGTCCCGCGTCGGTTTGTTAAATTTCACGGTTTTCTTCGGAAAGGTAAATCCTGTCACGATCGAAGTCTCTGACCGTGCGCCCGGACTCTATTTTCTATCCTATAACAGACTAAAAAATAAATTTAATCACCGTAGAAAGTATACGCCCCCAAATCACTGATCAGAACATCCATTCAAGCAGATGCTTGATCAGAAACTGGGTAGAACACATACAGTTGAGAGAGTATTTATTTACCCTTCCAATATATCAAAGATGGATTCTAATATCTCGAGTGGACGTCCACCCGTTTCTTGCATGCCACCTAAATGATTATGAAACTTTTTTAAAAAAATTATAAGATAGGTTAATATGTAATACATCACTTCACAAACATACAAGTTCAAATTCGACTTGTACAAATTATAACAAAAATAACAAATTAAACTCTAACTAGTATAGTATGTTCACAGTTAAATTTGTTATTTTTGTTACAACTTGTAGAAGTTGAATTTGAACTTGCATGTTTGTGAGATCATATATTACACATTAACCTATGGAAGAATAGCCAACATGATCCTTGAAGTTTTGCTCCAGGATCAGTTTGGTGCCTAACCTTTTGTATTGTCCAAACGAGTTCTTATAATTTGTCATGTGGACTAATATAGTTCTTGGACCCACTTAAATTGCCACATGAGCATGCCATGTTATGCTCTCATGCAAAATATACGGTGAAATATCCAATTTACCCTTCCATGTACCATACAAAAATAATGAAATGAATTTACAAACTTTATTCAATGTGACTGGATATATGCCAAACTTTTTTCACTGGATTATGCTAATACAAAGTTAAATTAGCTACAACCACTAAATAATTATATAATTATCATGCCAAATAATTTTCATGTAAGTAGTTGCATTTCAATGTTAAAACTCTAACGGATATTTAATATGCATGATCACCTACTTCTTTTTTATTATTATTTTTCTCCTTTTCTTTATCTCCCTTTTCCCTATGATGATATGTGTAAGGGTAAATTGGGTATTTCATCATATATTTGCATTGGAAGATGACATGACATGCCCACGTGGCAATTTTCGATGGGCCAAGGACTATATATGCCCACATGATAAAGTTTAAGGGCTTGCTTAGACAATTTGAAAGGTCAGGGGCTAAAACGATCTCAGAGCGAAACTTCAGGGACCATAGTGGCTATTCTCCCTTAACGTATCATGCCAATTTTTTATTTTTTTTTGAAAATTTTTCATAACCATTTAGATGACATGTAAGAAACGGGTAGACGTTCATCCGAGTGTTTAAAACAGTTTCCCTCCGATATAGTGACAGTACAACCGATCAACGACGCATGGCATAGAAAGGCAATAGAGCATGCTCAAATTCGTAGAGGATTAAGAGAGGACGCTTGATGTATACTATTGTAAAGAGGACCTAAGAAGAGTAGCTACTAGCTAGGCACTGGTTACTGATTGAAACTCTGCCTCAAAACGACCATCTATTCAGCTAAGCACGTCCATGATCTAAAATGTTGGACTAAATTGTTAGTACATGACTAAAAAGTTGAAAAGCAAATCATATTACGGAACATAAATGAAGTTTGCAAAGTTACGGAGCATGGTATAGCTCAAGCCTGAAGCATATTACAACTTCTTAAACAGATGAAAGACAAAATGACATTTACTACTGCATCCAATTTAATCAGCACGATCCAAAGGCTGTGTTTAGATCCAAAGTTTGGATCCAAACTTCAGTCCTTTTCCATCACATCAACCTGTCATACACACACAACTTTTGAGTCACATAATCTCTAATTTCAACCAAAATCCAAACTTTGCGCTGAACTATACACAGCCATAGTTGCCTACAAGCATGTACAGGTTGCACATTGCCTGCTGCACATGCACCCACCTGTTCAACTAAGCTATGATAAAATGATCGAAACCAGAACATACTAAAGGCCTCAAAAGGGTAATTATTTCAGAAGTTAATAGAACCTGGCCAATCAGAAACTGTACTGAACATTAAAATGTCAAAACTCGCCAAGATCCTGCAAATTCAACTACACACAAACGGACAAACTGCAAGCTATTTGCAACACTTCACAAGTGATGATAAAGTGGTGCAGAAAGGAAGCTAGAATAACTCATCAGGAGAACACAAATTCAACACAGCACGTAAAACGATTCATGTATCAGTATCAGTACGTTCACTAAACATTTATACACATTAATCCATGTGTGCTATGCACTAATCATGATCGCAATTCACGAACTCATGACACGTCAACCAGATCAGCTGATATTAAACAAAGGGGAAATGAAGCTACACCATTCAACACAGCTTCAGAAAATACTACCTAAAGAATTTGCACATTTCTTGCACAGATAAGATAAGAAACCAACAACTCACACGGATTGCCAAAATTTCATATGAACTAAACACGCTATGTGCAGGTTGCACATTTGCCTAGCGCAAAAATGCATGCAACCACTTACCAATTTCATCACCGAAACAGAGCAAGTGATAGACAATTGAACAGTTGGTCTAGTTTACAATTGCAGAATTTGATATAGCCTGACCAGTCGATCAAGAATTCTATTCGCATCTTTAACAGAACATTCAGACTTCCTAGATTAAGCATCACGGTTCCAACAGGGCAGAGGATGTCAGAAAAGCTATAGACAAACAACTAGAACCACTTCGTAAACCACATGTGCTAAGGGGAATGCAGTGATGATGCATGAAACTAAGTTAGCATAGCACATCAGGAGACAAATTTTAGCTAGCAGCTTCAAAACGAAACAGCGCAAGCAGAAGTAGCAGAGTAGCAGATAAAAACAGAGCAACCAGATCAGCAGAGAGAAATGAGATTCTGTAAATGCTCAAACGAAATCAGCATGGCCGCTGAAAATTCTTTCAAGATCTCATTCATTTCAAGCAGTTGCTGATCCATGGCATGAACCGAGAACCGTACAGGCAGTAGCACGATATGTCATCACAGCACATTACTCATCCTAATCAGAGACAGACAAAACCGGCAGGTGCTAAATCCTAGCTAGTTAGAAGCAGAGGACGAAAGAGACGCACTCACGCGATCACTGCCCTTCGCCGTAGCGGTGAGCAGCCGGAACAGTGGTAGAGGTCGCCGCGGCGGAGGCGCAGTCGCCGAAGACGCCGCAGGTTGCGTTGATCTGGTTGGAGGAGGCGAGGGCGACCGCGGCGGCGAGGTTGGCGAGGTGGAGGCGCGGGAACGTCACGTAGACGCCGTGCAAGGCGATGCGCGAGTTGATCACCACGTCGGGGTCCTTGATGGGGATGTAGTTGATGCGCACGTCTCTGGGGCCGGAGCCGGAGCCGGACGCGCCCTGGGTGACGACGAGGTTCTGGCCCTCGCCGGCCAGCGTGGGGAGCATCGTGCCCGGGTGGAGGCGCTGGAGGTCGGCGTGGGTGAGGCGGTGCCCGGGGACGACGTGGAAGCGGACCGCCGAGACGTAGTCGTGGCCTCCGCCGACGAAGATTGCCTGGTCGTCGAGCGCGAACACCGTCATGTTCGCCAACCTCTCGAGCTCGGCGAACTTGACGCGCATGGCCAGCGCCACGAAGCCGTAGCCGCTGTCGCGGAGGCGGGCGATGGCCTCCCGGATCATGATGCGCACCACGGAGGCGGCGGTCGCGGCGGACGACGCGGCCGAACTGGCGATGATGTGGTGGTGGTGGTGGTGGTACTGGTAGTGGTAGTGGTGGCGATGATTCGAGCCGTGGGAGCACGAGCCGTGGGAGAGCGGCGGCAGGAAGCCGTGGAGGCCGTGCACGACGTAGCGCCCGTCGTTGTAGAGCTCCGGGTGCGAGACCTCGACGCCGTCGACGTAGAGCCTGACGTGGTGGATGGCGAACGGCCCGTGGTCGGAGGCGAGGTTGAGGCACAAGCCCGGGGAAGCCGAGGGGAGCTTGGCGGTGGAGGCGGCGGCGAGCTCGGTGTAGGGGAAGTAGCCCAGGGCGATGTGCTCCAGTAGGACATGGCGGCGCGAGCACATGGGGCAAGAGGCGCGGAGGAAGACGTCGGGAGCCGCGAAGACGGTGATCGACCCTGGCCACGCCGCGAGCAACGCCGAGTTGGCGAGGAGCAGCGCCGCCGAGGCCATCTCGTTGTACCCCAGCGAGGAGAGCACCCTCGCCAGCTGCTCCAGGCGCTGCTCGTCGCCCAAGCCCGCGACCCCGGCGTGGACTGGAGGCGGAGGAGGGCTCGCTACGTGGCTGTACCTCGGGAGCGGAAGCGTCGTCGTGGTCGTGGTCGTGGTCGTGGCCGTGGCTGCAGCAGGTTCGTCGAGTGGCGGAGCCGCTGTCACCGTCGCCGTCGCCGTCGTCGACCCGTACCCGTCCACGCCCTCCTCCTTCGGCTGCGGTGGCGCCGTGGAGTCCAGATCCGGCTTGGCGAAGAGAGGAGGAGGAGGAGGAGGAGGTGGTGGTGGTGGTGGTGGTGATGCGGCCGCTGCTTGCTGCGGGGAGTCGTCGATCAGCGTAGGGGTCGCCTCCTCCGCCGCCGCTCCCACCGCGGCGATGGCGGTCTCCCCGGACGGAGCCTCGGCAGCGGCGGGCGCGGCGGCGAAGGGGTCGGCGAGCACGTGCAGCAACTGGCCCTCCTCCGCCTCGATGTGGTTCTGGTGCATGGAAGGGGCGGGGTAGAACAGCGCCGTGGCCGTGTTCGCGACGGAGCGGTGGTGGCGGCGCGGGTGAAGCGGCACCGCCGCTCCTCCTCCTCCCGCCGGCGAGTGGTGGTGGGACGCGGCGGCGGTGGGGATGAGTGGGACGAGGAGGAGGAGGAGCGAGATGCGGAAGAGGAGCGCCATGGATGCGCGCTTCCCTCGAGAGAGCTTTTGCCGAATGGCTTGGGGAGAGGAAGACGAAGGCGCAGGCGGAGGCGGCGGGTATTTATAGCCGGCCGGCCTGAACGGCGGGCAAGTGGCAAGGTGGGCCCCACCTCCGCGGCAAGGAATGCGAGGTTGCTTTGCCTTGCTCGCTGCGTCAGCCCTGGTGCTGAGGCTGACAGGTGGGGACCCCGGAATCTTCCGTATCAACCCTGCAATTCTGCAGCAGAGGAGGTTGGGTGTTGTGCGTGGACGCTGCCTTTGGTGAGCCAACTGGTGTGGACGATGATTAGGCCGCAGCCCGCAGGTAATCCGTGAACCAGGTATATTCAGGGACGAATTGTTGGCAAATTACTATACGAACATGAAGGGGAAATGGTGTGTGTTAAGGTTATCAACTCTATATTTGCCTTTAAACTTATCCCAAATTCCCGATGCCTTTTTCTCAACCCAACTTTCAAAACTAACTATGGTTCTGTTTAAATCGCTGACTATGGTTATGTTTCATAACACCTTCGACCCTATCTTACCGTGGTTATGTCTGAAATGACCTTGATTTTCGCTAAAGCTTCGTAGTTCGTACTCCCTCCTTTTTATATTATAATTAATTTGACTTGGTCAAGTTTTTTTTTTAGTTTGATCAAGTTTGTAGCAAAAGATAGTAACAATTTCAATACAAATCAAATATTGTATCAAAATATATTCAATATTAAATTTAATGAACCAATTTAGTGTAGTATATGTTGCTATTTTTTTATAAATTAAACTTGATCAAACCTAGAAAATCTTTTAAAAAAAGTCAAACGACTTATATAATATGAAACGGAAGGAGTATTACGCATGATTATTACCATTGACATCACTTACTTACATATAAATGAAACTCTCTAGTTACTAGCGGAAAAAAAACTACGATCATGTTTTTAATAAAGAAAGCTTTTATTAATCTCAGATGATTATATCAAGTTGATCGAACGATACTAAGAAAACTCCTAGCCTCTGCATAATTAAAATGCACACAACCAAAGCATACACATGCCCACAAAAAAAGTTTGTAACAAGAGAAGGAAAGCAGTAAAAATTAGGGAGCATCAATCTTAAGGCTATACCGCCATCCATGTCCCTGGGTAAAACACTCCCTGATCACATTCTTCAAGTGCTAACACTATGCTGCAACCAAATCCGCGAACCAGTCTTTGAAGGATTGCCTAGGTACGAAGGAAGTAGAAAGTTCAAAAAAATAATATGTAAATGAGAAGAGATTTTTCTTTTGTCAAACACCATATTATTCCTGCAAAGCCATATTGTCCAACAAATAGTGGCTACCCCTAACAGGATAAGCGACTTCAAGTCTTTCCTAATTCCCTGTAGCCAATTACCAAACATATTGGATACACTACGAGGCGGGAAAAGCCCTGTAGCTACTTGTATAATGCACCACACAAAACGGGCAAATCTGCACTCATAAAACAAATATAATATTGTCCCATCTTTATGAAAAAACCAACAATGTTTACTTGCCAATTGCGCTTGGCCATCAGGTTATCCCTTGTCAAAACTACCCCACGACATACTCTACTAAAAAACCATTTTTCGAGACGATGACATTTTTCCCATGCGAGTATGCCTCTCGGAGCTAAATGGCCGCCTGTGAAAATGACAATCGTGTGGCGAGATCGTTGTCCGCGTACGAAAATCTACTTTTGCAGGCGGACCCCAGCAAAATACCTTTATTTTTGCAGATGGCCCTTGTAAGTGGTCCGATTTTCACAGACGATACCTTAAGAGGTCTGTCTGCGAAAAGGTTAAACATGTTAAAAACACCACCTACCCACCAAAATGCTAAGTCAGAGCACTCCGCCCTCACACCTCTCCCTCACCTCTCCCTCCCCTCTCACCTCACCTCACCTCTCCTCTCCCGCCGTGGGATCCAGCTAGCCAGAGGGTGGTGGCGGCGGCGGCTCTAGGCGGTGGTGGCGCGGAGGGTGGAGGAGGCGTCGGCGGCTCCGCCGTGAGGGGGGAGGGCGGTGGCGGCTACCGGCTGTGATGACGTAGAGGGGTGGAGGAGGCATCGGCTTCCTCCCAGATCTGGTGGAGGAGGCGGCGTTGGTTTCCCTCCGCTCCCTCCCTCCCGGCAGTGGCTGCGCGGTTCCAGGCGCTGGCGATTCCCGGCGGTGGATCCCTTCCCTCCCTCCCAGATATGGCCGGAGGAGGGAGGGGCGACGGTGGCAGCGCGGCCGGACGTGGGTAGGGCGGGGGGGGGGGGGGGGTGGGGTGGCATTTTTTTTATTCGCCAAAAATATTTTCACAGCGGTGGATACGATGCCTGCAAAGATGGAGGTGCCGCCTACGAAAAGATTTTCGCAAGCAAGCTGTTGGGCCGCTTGCGAAAATCAACTATTTTCGTAGGCTTATACGCCTCCCACCTGAAGAAAATGATTTTTGGCTGCCTGGAAAAATGATTTTTCTGGTAGTGGTAAAGACCATATGAACTTGACTTTAAGCTCTTTGTTCGGGTTTGAAAGTAGAGAATAAACAATAATCAGCTTTTGATCCAGTGTTAAGAAGCGAACTCTAACAAAAGGTTACGAGCCAAAATTGGACTTTACCCATTCCATTAAGTATCAAAACTAATATATAGCTGGTATAGCCGTACATGGTTAAGTTGTCGATCTCAAATCTTGTGTTAAAATTATATTAGGCGCATGCACGTGAGTTTTCGACTGTATTTTAGTAAGATCAAAAATGTATGTTGGGTTTTATCTTTTTAAACATGCGTTAGAGAGTGGGGGCACATTCGTGGGAATGTGAGTGTGTTATTGTGTGCATAGCAGTGTGTTGCCATGTAATTGGAAAAAAAAAACTAATATAGCTGGTGTGTGTGTGTGTATATATATATATATATGTATTTATGTATGGGCGCCATACGTGTCGGCACCCAAAATAATGAGTGAAGTGCACTGACAATTTTCTAAACTTGTGTGAACTTGTGGGTGTGTCATATATAAGTTTCTAAACTCTTAAAATACATTTCGGGTTTTTGAATTTATCTTGGGTATCATATAGGACTAAACGGGCTCCAACCCACTCCATACGCGTTGATGCGACACCAACATGTATGTGCCACCATGTCATGCCATGTTAGCGTACTGAATAGGTTGGAGCCTGTTTGGACCTTTATGACATACAAGATAAATTCGAAGATAAAAAAATATATTGTGAAAGTTTAGAAACCTAGTAGATGATACATTTACATAAGTTTAGCAACCGTATGTGTGATTTATTCCAGAAGAGATTATCTATACTAATATAAAAAGCAACAGTTCACTTCTTTCTTAAGTGCACCTAGAAAAACGTACACTGAAATTTGAAATTTCCCTCTCTTTTCTCAGCCATGGATCAATTCATCCAACGGGTAGAGATAGAAGTGTGTGGCTGTGTGTCCCGCGATCATATGGCGAAACCACCGATTTGAAATATGCCATTTCTTTTGTTTTTGACTTGTTTTGTCATTAAATAAAAATTTAATATTTCTTTGAAAACTTTTGGTTTATACTTTTACATATTTATACTAAATTTTTAAATAAAAAATGTTATCAAACCTTTTATGAAAGAGTTAACAGGTCATAAAAAATGGTGTAGTAAAACGCAAGCAAAAGTTATCATTATGGAGGTTTGTTTACCCTCCTGCTCTTCCGTGGCAGCAGCTGCACCATCCGCGGAAATCACGGGGTCAATTACGCCATTGAGATTCCCCACTCAGTTAGTGTCGTTCCGCCTGCTGGCTGCGGGGCGCCGGATCGATAGGGATAGCAATTTCCCCCGCGGGGACCCGCCCCTACAGGAGCGGGGACGGGTGTGATTTTCGACCCACGGGGGCGTCGGGGATGGGGCCCCGCATTTAGGCGGGGAGAGGACGGGGGACATATTTCACCCGTGGGTGACCCGCGGGGCGTGGGGGTGTATATAAACCCTCAAAATATAGCCTATAGAAGGCCAAAAAGCCTAACCCACCAAAAAAAATTGAGATATATAATAAAAACTAAACCTTAGCTCGGCCTTATCTCTCAGTCTCTCCCCATATCCCCTCCCTCCCATGAGTGAGACAAACAGGTGGCGGTGCAGGGCGTCGCCGCCTCCCATGAGTGAGACAAACAGGTGGCGGTGCAGGGCGTCGCCGCCTCGTCGGCCACCCTCTCCCCTCCCATCCTCTCTAATCTCCCCTCCGGCGTCCGGCGCCGGCATCACGAGTCTCGTCCCCTCCACGGCTCCACCTCTCCCTCTGGAGTCAGCAAGGGGCGGCGGCGGCGCACAGAGTGCGGCGGCCGGCGAGACAGGCAAGGGTGCAGCAAGGTTGCAGCGGTCGGCGAGGGGACAGGCGTGACGGTGGCCAGCGATTCACGACGAGCTTCACCTACGCACAGGCGGCAATTCACAGAGACTGAGATGTATTTGTGATTTGTGAATGAAACGGTGCCCGTTACTGCTGCCTCTATATTGTGATTTGTGATTTGTGAATGATTGTGTTGTATTTTTGCGCTGATTGGATGGAGATGTTACCCAATACGGGGCCTCGGTCGGGTTGCGGGGCCCCAAGGGGTCGGGGGCAGGTTCTGTTTTTGACTCGCATGAGTGGTCGGGGCTGGGGGCGGGGGTGAAGTCGGGGGTCGGGTGCGGGGCGTTCCAGCCCAACCCGGCCCCGCCCCGCCCCGTTGCCATCCCTATGGGTCGATGATGCATGTGCTGCGTGCGCTGGCTGGTGTGGCTGGGCTCGGTCGATGGGATACGGTGGGCTGTGTTGTCGATGGGAATAAATCTATTTTGTCTCTGTCAACTATAGGCCGAGATTGCTTCACACCCTTTAACTATAAAAACCGGGTATAGAACATCCCAAACTATCAAAACCGGTGCAATAAATTGACTTCCTAAGTGGTTTTGTGTGACTTAATTCATACATGTTGATGTGGTGCTTGCGTGGTAATTCTACCCAGAAAACAAAAATAGAAAAACCATGGGGCTCACATAAGTCACATGCAAAAGGGAAAAAAAAAACAGCTCCACCTCAGCTCTCCCTCTTATTTCCTTGTTTCTCTTGGCAGGCGATGAGATGGCCGAGGTCTAGTGAGCAGCAGGCAGCGGTGACCTTGACTCAGAGCCCTCATGAACGTCGTTGGCTGTGTCGTCCCGCACTCGTGACCTCGTCAAGCTCCTTGCCCTCT